TTGCGTCATTTCGAGACTAATCTATGTCATATGACTCTTACATAACGCTGATGATGTAAATGGATCTCAAACGGCCAATAATAATTTTGCAGCAGTATTAATTATCCAATCAAAATGCACGGAAAACCAAAACTAACTCAGTCTGAATTAAGATTTCATCCTGAACATAACACATCCACTCTTCGGCCTAGCTGGACTGCTGCTGTCCTCTTATTGGAAATCTATCAAAAGTGTAAACATTTTGAAATAGGCCCAAATAATGTGCCAACTTGTTTGTGGCCGCAGAATGTGTACTAAAATAAAATGAAGATTTCATCTGCCTAGAATGCTGGTTTCCTATTCGTTGTGTGCCAGCATTTCAGCATTCTATGGCATCAAAAGTCTTGCTTTTCATTATGGATTCCACCTTCTACGTCCTACACCATTAATATTGCAAAGTCCTTGATTATATATATATATATAAAGTTGTAGGATCTTAAATTCAGCAGGAGAAAAAGATAAATAGATGATGATTCAACGCGAAGGTGGTAACAAACGAACTCTGTTAAAAAAGCAAGCTCGAGTAGGCGCTGTGGAGTTACTTTAAATACTTAAAGACATGCAGAACTGTATTTGTATCTGACGAGCGCGAGAACGTGCAACGGTACTGTTATTTAATTGAAATCTGTAGTGTTTCGATTATTATTCATTAAATGTCTGTGGTGTGGAAGTTTTATTTACTTATATCAATATATATATATATATAAATCTCTTCTGGATTCCTTTTAAATCCATTTTACAACTGTTTCTTTACCGTCAGGGCTATAGTGTAGAACTGGATGCCCCTTCTATTAGCGACAATTTTTTTTGAAATTTTGGCGATGAAACCTCACTTCTGGTTACCATGATAGTTTTAATTTTGTTTTAGCTTCCTGATTTTATTTAAATGAAAATAGACTGATGTGTACATGGACAAATTTAAGGGAGTGCGCAGTGCCTAGTTTGTGCAATTCTAGGATGTTTTTTAAGTGAAAACAGATCGATGTGTACATGGACACAGAGTTTGTGCAATTCTTTGACTTCGTAATTTGGTTTTGTGTAGCGGCCATCTTAAAATTGCGCTCTCCTGCCAAGAAACAAGGGGCACCCAACTGTAAACTTTTACCACTGTCAGTTTTAACGTGAGGTGCAAAAATAAACATTTTCCACCCGTTTTACTTTTCTATTTTTTAATGAAACAAGGCAATAAAGCAGCTGAGGCTCTCAAAAATGTATGTGAATTTTACAGCACTGATTGTTTGACAGAACGGATACGTCAGAACTGGTTTTCTAAAAAATTTCATTCTAAAGATTGCCACGTGAAGATGAATAGCGTATTAGTCGACCTTCTGCGCCTTCTTGACAAATTTAAAGCCACAATTGAATCAAATCGTCATATAACTGCGAGAGATTGCAAAAAGATCAAATGTTTTACACGAAACAAATGAAAATCTCATGAGATGCCTTGGAATCGTTAAGAAACTTGATGTTTGGGTTCCGCATGATTTGAAAGAAATTCACTTAACACAACGAACTAATTGCGATACGCATTTCGAACATAATGCAATCGACTCCTTTTTTCAAACGAATATCACTGGTGATGCAAAATGGATCGTCTACAATGACATTATTCGAAAAAAAACCTGGTCCAAGCAAAATGAGTTAGCGCAAATCATATTGAAAACTAAAGTGCATCAGAAAAAGATCACGCTATCAATTTGGCGGGGTTACAAAGGTGTTGTGTATTATGAAACTGGAGAAAGAAATCAAAGAGAAAAGAGTAGAATTGGCAAATCGCAAAGGAATCGGGTTCCACCATGACAATACAGTATGTATGAAACTACTGGAGCTTAGTTCGGGTGTGATGTCCCATCCCGGTGGTGACCTTACACCATCATTTATTTCGAAGTTTACATAACTTCTTAAATGATAAAAAATTTCAGTAACAACGATGATTTCAAATAGCACTTAGTTGAGTTTTTGCTTAAAGTCTGGAAGTTCTGTGAGAGCGGAATCATGAAGTTGCAGAAAGATAGCAAATAGGTCACCAAAACAGAAGGTACTTGACGTATTAAAGTTCATTTTTTGTATAGAATAAACTGATATTTATTTCACATTAAAAAAACCGAAATTATTTTCTTGCCAACCCGATATGACTGTATTTGGCGAAGCATTTAACGAATTTTCCATAATATTGTTACGAAATGTCCAGGCGCGGTAACATGGCTTCCTCGCAAAGCAGGATTTAGGGTTGCCATAAAATAACAAGGAAAGGCAAGGTTGCCACATTTGGCGAGAAATCGCTCATTTGGCGATATTTGGCGACAAAATTTGCGATATGCCATGGACGGTCGGCGAACCTTTTGGAACGAATTGTTATCGTCTTAGCCCAGAATGTTCTCGAAGACCAGCCAAAAGCTATATAAACCCTGCTGGTACGCGGAGAGTTAGTTAGTATCGAAGTGTGTCTCATCTAGTTAGTCCGTGCGGAGACGATCAAGTTGACAGCGAGTGCCGAGTGGGTCGTTGAGTGCACAGAAAGAGTCTCGTAGTGTATCGCGGTTAGTGCATCGTCGAGAGAGCGCGTTGAGCTCCGGGAACGAGTGAACCGAAGAGTCGGGAGCTGTGCTCTGTGTAGTCGAGTGCATCGCGAGTTGTAGCGTGGAGAGTCTCGAGAGTGCGTGGGGTTCCGAGAACGACCGAGCAGAGTCGGAAGCTGTAATCTGGTGCTTTGCAGTGATGCTGTCTCCATCGTTATAGCCTGATAACCTGAAGGCTGTGTTGCTGATTGTGTCAGCGTGTTTATAGTAGTTCTTCGACGACTGTAACGTGATTTTGGAGCTCTCCTGATTAGTACTGGCTAAATAAAGTGTGTTTCGATATTTCAGCAAGTGCTATCGTCGTTATTCACTCCAAATCCACACGAATCCCGTACGAACGTGAAGGAAGAAAATAACGTAACAGTTGGTATCAGAAAAGAAAAGACGTAACAATATACAAGTGCTATTTTGAAAATTGTCGAAGATGATCATCAGAAAGATAAGATAAAATAATAAAATTTTAGATATTTGTCAGTGCTAATAAAGTAATTCCATGCAAATCGTACAACTTACTGACTCAACTGTCCAACTGTTGATGAGAAATTCAATAAGGTTTTGCCATTTTTTTCACTTAGTAATAACAGCATTTGCTAATTTGGTGCATTTTTGGGTAAATAAAATATCCATTCCTGATACAAACAAAAGAAAAAAATCGTATGAGGTTTGTTCTGTGGAAAAAGTTTAAGGATAGGAGAGTTATATTTCATCATCTCTATAAATAGGAAGTATTCCTGTTTAACAAAGAATGTTTGCTATGATATTTGTAGAAAGTTAATGGAACATAACGGATGGGAAAACCGTATAACTGTTGCATATCATTACCTTTTAGGGAGGAAATTTGAGTTAACAATACGTGCAGTCTAAAATAATTATTGAATTGAAGAAATTGACGATTTAATTTACGATTTAACGCTTCCCGAATCCAACTTCTTAAGCATGACATAAATGTTCATCATATAGTAAAGTAGATATTATCAGGCATTGCACACCTGATTATATAAACGTTGGTTCACTTCCCCACACTGTACTTTAAGCGTGTTTCATGGCTCACCAGCAGCCTAGCGGTAAAAGCCACTGAATACTGCTAGTTCGGTCCGGGGTACGTAATGGCAAACCGCACATTGAGTTGATCAATGTTAACGAGTTTTGCTTACTGTGCGTTCTCAATGGTCTACCTATGGCGTGGGAGGAAATGCTGGTGACTAGGCATAAGCAACCTTACACAAGCCTGTTCATCATGTAGATCTTATCGACTACCGAAATTTGATTGTGCTCAATGCATTTGCTTCTGTTTCGTTTCACTTTAGTTTATTTTGTTCATAAACGTTATATTTACTATCAGTTATTTATAATAATTTCCTTGACTTTAATTCAATAATTTAAACTGAATTTATTCTTTAATTTGTTGAAGTATATACGAATGGAACGTTTGGTAAATACGCAATTGCTTTTATTCCTCAGAAGTATGATCAACAAAGATTCAACTAATAAAATCCTATCATGTTTCCTATTATGTAATCATTCTTAAACGAAAATTTGCTTATTTTACAATCGATATTTACACTATAAGTAATGAAGCAATTTACAACCTAACAAGTTTTAAAACTCCGAACTGTTTACGCCCAGATAACAGAATATCAACCACACGCCGTATTTACCTTCTTCTAAAATCATACCAGAGACATAATTGCGCTAAATTCTCTTCTGGGCATGCGCAGTATGCGAAATTCGTTTAGCATTGATAAACTGAATGTGCAGTTTGCCATTACGCGTCCGGGGTTCGAATCTCGGCGAATGGGCTGGTTACACGGGCATAGGACTGTAATATTTAGTGGCTACAATTTGAAAAATGAAACGGACGTTTAAAGTTTTCGAAGAAAAATGTCAAAACGAAATTAATAGCCCTTCTGAGCTAACGCCCTTGGGCTAATAATAATAATACAATATACATACTGCCCCCTTTTTTATTTATTCATACGTCATTTTATTTCGCATATATATTCGAACTATATTTAATGAGTTCCCACTTAAACGTACAATGATCTAATTTCTAATCAAGGAACATTATAAAAAGTTGAAACATTTTGAGAAAAGTATTAATTAATGTTCACGAAAACCATAAGCTTTTTTTCTGCATAGTCAAAACTGTCAATGCGAAATTGTTCGTTTATTTAGCGAAATAATAAATGAAACTACTTTAAACTGTTAGCTTCCCTGAATCACGTGTTGGAACGAGACCCAAATATAACTTAAAAGAAAAAACAAATCACTGGGACACCCCAAGTCCTCAACCTGCATTCGCTCCTTCTTTTGTCTCTGAGAATTACAATACGTTAATTCTAGAGCTCACCGAGCTCCTATTTCGGATTAACGACTTTAGCGCCCCCTGCCCACAGAAATCGTAAAAGCTTCAAAAAAGTTAACTCTCTGCAGTCCTGTTTCGACTTCTTTTCGGTAACATCACTGTGTGTGTAGTCTTGGTTACTGCGGTGAAGTACATAGCTATTTGCAATGGTAAGTTGCAACACATAATTTATTGCATGAATCAGCGGAAGTGATAAAGATAATGCAATCAATTTAATTTATTTTCATTATCTTGAAATTTAGTTTAGCTTTATCTAATAACTTTATATTAAATAATACCCAGAAGCATATTTTTAAAATGAAATATGATTTAAAAAGTTTCAGATTATAAGCAGAATTTATTATTTTGTGCAAAATTTAATCCTTCTATTATAATTATTTTATATTGCATTGTTTAATCTTAAGGTTTTTTTTTTAAGATAACTTTTTAAATAAATTTTTTGAGATTCAATTTAAAAAATGATTAAAAATTTTTCTGTACAGAAATTATTCGAACATCAATTAAGGATTTTAAGACAGCTAAATTTGTATGATTTTATTATTTTTAAGAGTTAAATTAAATAAATAATTATGAAAATGCGGCCTTTATGGTTTTATTCTTTCACATTTTTATCTATATTATTTGATCTCTGTGTAGATTATTTTTCTCTCTTATGCAATTTTACAATTTTATGGAAGTTATGTTAAAAGAATACTAAATAGAATTCAATTTAATTCAAGACTGAACTATTACATTTTTCTACTTTTAAAGCTGAATAAAATTAATTATTGGGTGATTCAGGGCTCAATCCCAACGCTACAAAATATTCATTTGTTTTTATATGTACCAAGAAAATAATTTTAATAATTATAGCTTGAGTAAGGTCAGAAAATATATATTTGAGTAATAAGATATATGATTAGCAATAACATAAATACATAGCTAATAATTAATTTCTATTAAACTTGCTTTTCCCAAGTAAATAAAATTTAATTTTTAATATGAATTCCATCATTTTTTTTTCAATTTTCCAGCCAAAACAATTATCTGATAGGGGTATTTTGAAGGAACTAAAAAACCTCTTGTTGAAAATACCTTTAAAAAATAAGTAAGACTCCAGGGGGGAGATTTTTTTTATAATGTTGTATTCGATTATAATTTTAACCGACTTTTTATTGTCTGCCATGTCTGAGTGATTTTAGGACTTGATTACTACTGAGATAATATAAGTTTAATGAGACTACATTATCAGCTGCTTGTCGGGAATAAATGAATGTAATATGATCTTCCTTGAGCAGACGCTCACGGGACCAAGATTTTGTTCCTTATCAGGGAGTGTCCTCTAAATAAGAATGCACGGGTCTCTTATTTCAATGATCAACGAATTCAATAACTACCCGTATATGGAGAATATCCGTTAAAGTGGACAGTCTGTTAGCGGTGGTTCAGGGTTCAGTTGTACATGATGTCTCCATAAGTGGAATGAAATGGAATGAGAGCTTCCAGTATGCATTCCAGATTCTAATTTTCCAGAATTCTAAATGACTTTTTAATTTTCATGCTTTCAGCATTAATGCAGAAGACTAGAATTTGAATTAAAGTTCAGGCAATTTTTAAGATAAGAAACAATTTACTGTTTCAACTGAAGATGGAGGAGAAAAGGAAACTGAGGAACTCCTACCTTAAGTTGATAATAATGCATAATTTTAAAATGCTTTGCTATATTTATTCATTTCGCCGATATTCCTCTAACTTTTGTTTAATCGAGTATACAAAATACGCTAATTCGTAAGTTATCGTATTTTGTATACTAATTCTATATTTATCTATATAATTTTAAGAAAGAAATTAAATGCATGTGCATGAATAGTGAATTATTGTTAACAACTGCCCAAAAGCTGTGTAGCAATGCATATGAAAAGGGAAATATTCATCTGAAAACCTCAAACTTTATGACAGCCTCTCTTTCTATTAAAGGTAACAACGAAAAAATAGTGATTTCCTCAAGAAGCGTTATTATTTCCTGATATTTCACTTTATTATTCATTTAAATTTCGCTATATTTTACATTTTCGAAACGAAAAAATATTAAGAAAGTTAATGAAAAAATAGGGATTTCCTCAAGAAGCGTCATTATTTCATGATATTTTACTTGCAATGCTTTTTAAAGTTTCACACGAAGTTATTTTACAAATCATTAATAAAACCGATGAGATATTTTGTGAAATAATAAACTCATTGTCGGAATAAGAAAACGAACGAAGAAAGCTTAACACTGTTTCTTTGTTTTAGCACGCTTGGGAAAGTTTCGTTACCAAGGAAATGCTAGAGTTTCTTTTCAAAGAAACTAAGAATCTATTATATTAAAACAATTTTAACATATAGAGAAGATAATTGTAAGTTCAAACAAAGCCTCCTTTAATTTTGTTCTTTGTACTTTATAGATAGCTCAAAATATAAATTTCAGGGGATATTGTAAGGTTTATAGGCATTCGCTTCGCCAATTCACCATTCAATTATTATACTTGATTTTTGTATTGATTTCAATTTAAATTCGTCATCTACTTCAGTATCCAAAACACATTATTCGAATATGCGAGTTTCATCAGTTTGCAAATAGAAACGTATACGACAGTTCTATATCTCCCAGATTCGTTAGTTCTATATCTTTCTTAAATCGGCCCAGTAAAGAAATTTAACTTGAGTTTTTCATGTTTCGAAAGCGCAACTTAAGATATTTATTAGATCTATATATGGCATTGTTACAATATATATATTTTGATGCAATATCGAACTTTTTCCACATTTCGATTCTACGACTCAAATTATGCCGAAGTGCTAAGTTTTGTAAAAATCACAAGAATAGTTTTTAAATATTAGCTCTCGAATGTTTAGATCCACATTGTTAATTGAATTTGGTATATATTTATTAAACTTAACCGAGTCCTTCTTTCACAATTTGAAATTTAGGTTCAATCCAAATAAAATTCACAGATATTTTCTGATTTATTTTTAAAGTTTGTATAATTTATTAGATCTATATATGGCATTGTTACAATATATATATTTTGATGCAATATCGAACTTTTTCCGTATTTCGATTCTACGACTCAAATTTTGCCGAAGTGCTAAGTTTTGTAAAAATCACAAGAATAGTTTTTAAATATTAGCTCTCGAAACTTTAGATCCACAATGTTAATTGAATTTGGTATATATTTATTAAACTTAACCGAGTCCTTCTTTCACAATTTGAAATTTAGGTTAAATCCAAATAAAATTCACAGATATTTTCTGATTTATTTTTAAAGTTTGTATTTTTTGGTAGTTTTTATAAATTTTTCGAAAAAAAAAATATAACAATAAAATTTTTACCATCATCTTCTTCAAGATTTCCCAAGACACACGTGAATTTATATATTGGAGCGTTTTGAAATTTGGCATATTTGTTATAAGCGGTAATAATGCCAAATGTTGTTTACGCACTTTGTTTAAATTATTTGAAAGAATGAATGATGGACCCTTTTTTTTCTTTCGTGCACAATGAAAGGGAAAAGAAAATAAGTTACCATAAATTAAGAAATTCGTCAAGTGAATTATCGTTGGCGCAAACTGGAAAAATTGCGCCAAGATAAATTTTTGAATATTTCAGTAAGTTTCTCACCAAATTTTTCAAAATTTAATATTTTTATGCATAATTTGATTCGTAGAATCGAAATATGGGAAAAAATTGCTATTTCACATCAGAAAAAAATCCGATTTTATGTCAGAATACCTGTGTTAGAACAATAAATATAAGCCCTAAGTTCCGCTTTCGAGACATAAGAATCGCAAATTAAATTTTCTCGATTAACCCCAGTAGAACGGGAGATTTTGAACTGTCCCCCCTTTTTGTGTAGAGACCATTTTTCTATGTAAAAATACATTAACTCTTAAAATACATTTGATTAAAATGAAAGCATATATGAAGCATTCTGCATATTTGCCTCTGCAAAAACGTTATAAAAGTTAAGACGTTAAATATTTTTAGTAGGGTTAACTAAATGGTAGTAACGAATATATGAATAAAAGAAACTAAAATAGTGATTAAATTTTTACGAAATGTGATTTTCAACTTATCGGGCAGCTTTATCTTTATCGAAGGAATTATTTAGCGAATTAAATAATTTAATTCGTGTGATTGGGATTTTATTTTATTCCAGGAAAATTTTAGGTGACATCCCATTTATATTAAAATGATCTTCTTCCAAGAACTAAACAACATAATTCTGATGAATTAAAGATTAGAATATAGAAGAAAAATGTTATAAGTTACGTGTATAAATTACAGAAATGTTCATTAACTGGCTCGTGTTTCTGCTATTAAAGCGATTCAATGTAAAATAAAAGTTGTTCACTCTTCCAACTCATCACTCCGTTTAAATTTTATCACTCCGTCGGTGACCTTTCACTTGGTTAGAAATTACTTCTGAAAGATTGTATCAACACAGACTTTTCTAAATTTATAGTTTAGAAATTTTATTTCGTCGATAAATTTTCTAAATAAATCTGAATCAATATTATTTATTAGTAGGGTCGATAAATTTTGATGCTCAAGTTATGGGTTTCTCAATAATTTTCTAATGTATAACATTTTCTCATGAGGATTGTAAAATCAACGTTTCTTCAGTAAATTAACTAAAAATACGTTTTCGCAAGGAATCAAATGGGAAAAATTTGAAATTTTGCATCGTAATTTGTTGTATGTCTGAAATTGATTTTTAATTGCTTTTCGTTCAATATATGTCACTATATTATATTTCAGTGTTTTTGTGCATTTCTGCAAAAAGCTTCATGCGACATATAAATTTTTCATATTGTACATTATGTATGGGATATATAATTTAAAACTATTTTACTCTCACGATGTTTTTTTGTGACAATTTTAGCTTACGAAGATTTCACGTATTTCTATAATTAATTCAGCACATTCTAATTTCTAAAACATTTATTTATAACATTTGTATTACAGAATCTAATATGTCAGCTGCATGCTTTCATGAAATACTCAGAAATTTTGTGTTAAATAATAAGCTTTTAGAATCTATTTCCAACAGTTCTATTACTATAAAATGAAATTTGAACTTACTGACAAGCTTATAGTAGCTTTACGCTAACTAGCTTTTTTCTTCTTGCAGGCTGACTTAAAAAGCTACGAAGTCGAAGGTAAGATAAAAGTTATATGCTTTATTTATGTAAAAAAGATACTATTTCATTTTGATCGTCAAAAGTAAATGGTTATTCAAAATTTTCTGTATGATAAATTACTGTTTTTAAAACACTGCGAACATCTTGTGAGAACGACACTAACAGCTTATATTGTTTCCTTAGAAAATTCTGAATACTTTATGACAGAAAATTTATAATAATTTTCTGTTTTTAAGTAAAGAAATTCGAGAATTCTAAAACTGATATAAATGGTTCCCGTCAAATATTTACAAAAGTAAATGTTATGAAAATATACATGCTTGAAAACAAATAGTGTTAAATGCGATAAAAGTTAGAGCTGCGTCAGTTAAAAATGCGCCATTTTTTTTTGGACACAATGTTTCCAAGTATAAAATTAGGAAAAACAATATAATTCTAAAAGACTAAAAAAATGACTTCTGTAAAAAGTAATTTTTTAAAATTTCATAATTCTTAAAGAAAATAAATTTTTCTTTTTAATTTTTTAATCTAGAGTATTACATAAATAAAAACGGCATACACAGAAATAAAAAATAACAAAACAAAATGAAATTCAATCCAAACACGTGGCATAAAATTACTAATATCATTCAATATTATAGGAAAAAATTCAGTTTTTGAATATAAGCGACTCCACATAATTTCTATCAAATATGACTAGATGGTGACGAGCAGTGCACAAACACTCCACAGTTTGGGTGTGGCATCCGGTTCCGGGGTCTCAAAATTATAACTGTGATTTACAGTGAAATGTTCAGTATTTCTTAATTACTCTTTCTTATATCTTTCCCAACAGTTTGAAAATATTATCCTGCCATCCGGGATATTTTCCTGAATGGAAGTCATCAATATTGTAGCACAACGATTGGGAACGGCGACCAGAAAACTTTTTTTGCTTTCCCGCCATAAACCCCGTTTACCCATTGTTCCGGAAGAACATATCCAATGTTGTTTTTCTTTTTTCTGACAAAACTTTGTTGGCTTCACAGATTTTTCTTTCTTTTACGAGAAACATCAAACTATTTGCACATACCTCCCGGAAGTAGTTATTCTAATTTACTGTCTTATTATGGCTGATTTTTAATTGAAGTTGGCAAAATTCAATCGACGTCAATTCCTGACACCACAGGCAGATAAAACAAACGGTATTGAGGAAAGAAAATACACGAGCCTTCAAACCATGTTTTTAAATCCAACCATTTCTCAATCCCCCCCTTTTTTTTTCATCAAGAACGTATGAACTCTTTGTTTGAATCAAAAGTTAACGTCATCGGATGATTTTGAACACAGTCAATTGCTATGAATTATTTCTTTGTCCTGAAGGAATCTTATGGCAACCTCTTCGTCATTAGGTAATTTCCTAATTGTGTAGTCGATCGCACAAAATAAAAAAAAAAAAATAATAAAAAAAAAAAAAAAAATCTGAAATGTTTCAGATTTTAAATTACGTCCAAAGGGGCGTTTTTTTTAACGTTTTGAGTCTTACCTTTATTTATTAAATATCATGTTCTTTGCACTTTAAACCATAAAATTCAGTTCAAGAGCAATATCGCAAAAATAATGTTAAATTAAGCATATCTTTAGAATTCCGATATACACAGTCTCGCGAGCTGGAGATAAAAGTATTTTTTTCTATATAACGTTGCCATTTCTCGCTTTAAAGCATTGAGTTTGTAAATAAAAAATTCGTTAAAGTTTACAAAATATAAAATCTATAATAAACAAATTCCAAATTGGGGATTTCAGATGCCCATATTCGCAGTAGGATTTCGTCATTCAAAATTCGATGGCTCTATGTACCATGTTTTTCACAATGCGAGAAATGACATACATTATGCAGATTTTCATTATTTAATTTCTTCAAATATAATGCAGGACTCTAACATTTGTGGCAACAGTTTGAAAAGTGAACCGACGTTTATGAGTCCGACGCAAAATCGCAAAACGAAACAATAGTCCTTCAGGGACAAGCCCTTTGGACTAAAAAAAAAAAAAAAAGAAAAAAAGAAAAAGCTGGTGAAATATGGCAGAAAAAAAAATAACGTGTGATGATATTTCAAATATGCGTTAAAGAGACAGAGACGTAGACTGTAAGAATTTGATGGCTAAATTTTCTTTTTCCAAATTGTGTAGTCAATCGTACTAAAAAAATGGCGAAATATGGTAAAAAAAATAACGTGTGATGATATTTCAAATATGCGTTAAAGAGACAGAGACGTACATTGTACGAATTTGATGGTTAAATTTTCCTTTTTTCCAACCTGTGTAGTCAATCGTACTAAAAAAATGGCGAAATATGGTAAAAAAAGTAACTTGTGGTGATATTTCAAACGAAAACTGGAAATCTCGAGCCGATATTTGGCGTGTTGTTGTAGCATTGTTTTCTTCTAATTTTTTCTTCATTTTTAACTGAGGCCGCTCTAACGGGAATAGTACCATTTGGTTCTGACACTATTTGATTTAAAGGATTATTAATTAATTATGATTAAATAAATAGCATATTATTATTTTTTTTATTTATTAATATTAGAAAAATTGCAGAAAATTACTAACTAAGATAGGTAGGAAACTAAGATACTAACTAAGATAGGTAGGAAAAACTGCTAAAAATGGAAGAGCACATGCACATTTTTATTACTTCAATCACTCGTGAATACAAATCACATTTAAATAAATTTATGTAAATTAAAAATTTTAATAATGACATCAGTTTTTGTATAATTTCTGCCATAAAAGGATTTACGTTGAGAAAAGATTATATTAAAATAATTTATTTTACGGTGAACAGTTTCTGTACACACTGGACTGATTTAAGAGTGTGAAATGAATTTAAGTACAAATGAAGTAATTAAAATTATATAAGACATAATTTATGATATTTGGCTGCAAAATTAAAATATTTAAGAATGATAGTAGCAGCAGACATGCGCCATACTTCTAATGAAAAATTAATCACACAAAATAAGAAATATATTTAATATACGTTATAAAGGCATTTTAAATTACAAATTAAATCAAAACTAATCTTCCCAACATTTGAAGTTTCGCTAAAAGGCATACTGAAAATATCCATACAAAAAGCACTTTACCTAGATTATAATTTCAAAACGTTTATATCGCTGTGCAACTGGTCTTATCCCCTACGTGAATATATTGCTTGAATGGTTTCAGTAAATTTCCAAGATGCCAGTACAATCGTTCTACTAGGTTTGATTGACGAAATTTAACTTGTGTTTTTCATGTCTCGACAGTGCGACTTAGGATATATATATAACAGATTTATGCATAGCATTGTTCTAACATAAGTATTCTGGCACTAAAAATGACATACCTATTTTTTTCCATATTTCGATTCTACGACTCAATTATGCCTACATATTAAATTTTGTAGAATTTGTTAAAAATACTTACCGAAGGGAAAAAATATTGGTTACTCACTTTCAGTTTGCGTCAAAAATAATTCATTTAGCGAAATTCTTAATTTATGGTAACCTATTTTCCGTTCCCTTTCTTTGTATACGAGCGGTAAAAAATGTGCATCGTTCATTGTTTTAGTGAAGTGTGAAACCCTCCATTTCAAGTAATTTAATATTAAATATTTTCCTCATACTTTTTTTTTACTATTTTTTTCACTGATGTAAATGACGCCTCACTATTATTAGATTTCGAAATTTCAATTCCCTTTTTACTATTTTATAAATCTTATTATTGCCAGTTATTGTTAACACGAGTCGGGATCCATTGTACTCGTAATACAACGGTTACAGCCGAAAACATCGCGGCAAAAACATCGTGGACGAAAACGTCGTGGAGAAAACAACGCAAGGCGAAAACGTCGTGCTACAAAACATCGTGGGAAAAAAACATCGCAAAGAGAAAACATCGCAGTTCTAAAACATCGTGGTACAAAACACCGTCGTCGAAAATAAAGCGGTTCAAAAACTTCGCAGTTTAAAAACATCGTCGTCGAAAATATCGTGGTAAAAAATAAAGTATCTACAAATCATCGCATGACGATAGCATCGTAGACATGCTTTTTTCAGGCATGCTTTAATAAGTGTAAATGGATATTCCCATAATGATTTGTGAGCGCAAGATGGAAAGAAGGATAATTTTTACTTATTTTTTATTAATTAATAACATTTTTGCTGAGAAAATAAAAGGAAACTTAAGCATAGAAAATTCAATGCAACTTATAACACTTAATAGAATTTTAAACCCGACATAGTTACTAACAAAGGCCATTAATAAATCATTTTTATAAAGTTTTACTGGTAATATTTCATGAAAAGTATAATCTATAAGTTGCATTTAATTTTCTATGCTTAAGTTTCCTTCTTACTTTTTCAGCAAAAATTTATTAGTTAATAAAAATGTGAAAGTAAAAATTATCCTTCTTTACATCTTGCGCTCACAAATCATTATGGGAATATCCATTTACAATTATTAAAACCTGAAAAAAGCATGTCTGCGATGTTATCGTCATGCGATGATTTGTAGATACTTTATTTTTTACCACGATATTTTCGACGACGATGTTTTTAAACTGCGAAGTTTTTGAACCGCTTTATTTTCGACGACGATGTTTTGTACCACGATGTTTTAGAACTGCGATGTTTTCTCTTTGCGATGTTTTCTCCCACGATGTTTTGTAGCACGACGTTTTCGCCTTGCGTTGTTTTCTCCGCGACGTTTTCGTCCACGATGTTTTTGCCGCGATGTATCGGCGGACACCAATACAACTGCCATCCCTTTTTGCGGCTAGAAGTAAACGATTTCTTATTTAACCTCTGATTCTCCATCGAAATTCTCCATCTGGTACGAAATGGACCAAGAGAAGAATAGAATGCAAAAAGCTCTGAACACACACCAGGCCCAAATTTATCGAGCATTTTCAATCCATTTCTATATATGTGAAGCCAAATATTCTTTGGCTTTTTGGTAAATGTTATACTAAAATTCTAGGAAGTCATTTATTT